ATAGCACCTGTTTGTTTGATACTGTTTATACACACGCTCTCTCTCACCCTCTCTCGTCCGCTTTTTATCTACTCGATTGGAATTCGGGAATCGGCTGGAAACTATGCACACCTTGACTCTTCATTGCTCCATATTATATTCACCTGATTCGAATGTCTTTCATAGCAAAATGCCAAGCACAATGGAAAATCGCTATATGGTGCAAAGATAGGTACTATGATAGAAATTTGTGTTACAGGTGCGATAATATTCTGAATTCAAGTCGTTCGTAGTGTCAAATATTTTGTAACTTTGGATTTAAACCACATTTTATTGGCATTCTCAGTGTAATAAGGCCGAAATATTTGTGCAGAATGCCAAATCTGACGGTTTTCGAAACCTGAATGTGTGCTTCTGGGCAGCACATGTACTTTCGGCGAAATTCGTGCATGTGTATCTTACCTTGTATAACCTTTCTAATAAAGGTGTCACAGCTATTAATCTGATGCCATCTTCATGTCAAGCGAAGGATCTTTCGGCACCTTTTCCTTAATTCTTTGTCAATGTCATTTCGCCGAGAACTAGATTCGACCATGTATGCATACGTACACAGTCTTTCTCATGAAGAAAAACCCCGCATGGATTCTGCTAGCGTTTATACTTTCTATATATTTAAAATGTTTTTTTTTTTTTCATAATTTGAACAAATGTGTACTGTGGTGCTTAGTTTTGTCTCTCAACGACACTGAACACATATTCATATCCAATGAAAATGTGTATACGGATCTGGTTATTTCATCATCATTACGATTATGATTGCTGCTACAATTGCGTCGCCCATGTGTATGTGTCTGTTTAAAACTTGGTTTTGATCTGTTCAGTTGCAAGTTTCTGCTTCGTTATGTGAACTAAGCATTGCTGTTGCAACTACTTTTCTCTTTCCATCTGTGTCTCTGGAATAAACTCGCTTTGGTTTGTGGGCCTTTGCCATTCGTATGTGTTTACATTGTGTTATTGTTTGAAACTTTTTCCCCGTTGATAATTTATATTTGTTGATAAAATATTGTCGCTCTTTCGTCGAAACATGTTTGGTGCCGTTCCCTTGTGCATATTTTTCAATTTCCACATCCTCGTCACGCTCTCGTCGTCATTTCTTCTGCTCTTTCATTTGCTTCGTTTCATTTCGTTCACTAAGTTAGAAATTCAGTTTTGCGCTGTTCTCATTCGAACCCGCCCGCCTGTCTGCTCCCACACACACACACACACACACGCACTCTCTCTCACACAACTTATCGAACACGCAAAGCATTGCATTGCAAGAATCTCAACTAGACCAATAATATGAATTGAATTCAGCTTCTCACTAGCTCGCTGTGTCTCTTTGTGTGTGCAATTTATATGTGTTTATGTTCAGTAATGCGAACGTAGATGCGAATGCATATGTATTATTTGTATTATAAAGCGAACACAGTCAACTGGCTGGCAAAAGCGTTTATTATTACGATTATTCTTTCATTTTCAGCGTTCGCTGTTCCTTCATTGAATTTCGAAACTGGTTCGCTTTTCATTTCCACACAACAAATTTATTATTTTCAGAATGCTGTTCGTTTCCAACTTCGTTTGAAATATTGTCGTGTTGAGCGAGTCGTGTTCATTTTAAGCATATACATTTTTCCTGTGCTACACATACACACTCTTACATTTCCTACATGCGAACGCGACCGCAACCGAACACACAAACCAACGAATGAAACCAACAACGGCAATATGCTAGTTGTCTTTAATTTCCGATCGTGTTTATTTTTATTTTGTGCGCATTGTTGAAACGAAAATGAACAAAAGTTTTGCACAAATGTCAAGTACAAAATAACAACGGCGAATTTACACTCCGAACGCAGCAGCGACTGAGAGAATGAGAGAAAGAGAAAGAGAACGAAGAATTTCCGAAATGATAATATTGTGTATTGAATGCTGAAAACGGTCTATTAATATGTATTTATAGACTATATCTGGAATTTTATTCATGTCGTTTGCCAGAGTATAAACACCGACCAGACTTTTGCTAGCGAACGGATGTTGTTTGTTGTTGTTGTTGTTTTTGTCGTTTTTTTTTTTGTTTTTCACTCTTTTTGGCATTCGATGATTTTCTAACGGCGGGTACAAAACTCAACGGATTTCCAATTCAATGCTATACCAACAACAAATGCCGGGAAAAAGTTCACTGTTGTAATTTGTCAAAAGCGAACGAATCAAGTTAGAAAGCAGCAGCAACAGCGAGCCAGCCTGCTGACAAAATACCCTGGCTGTGACCAACTTCGACATAATTATGAACTAATAACAAATACCGGATAAATAATAATCCGTTGACATGTAATTTATGCCATGAAGTTGTTTTGGCTCGTGTTTATTCGCTGCGGGCTATTTCACGCTTATTCTCTCAAACCGATTTTTGGACACAATACGCGAAGGGTGGAAGAGTGATAATATAGCAAGAGGGAGAGCGGCAGCAACAGCGTAGAAAAACATCAATTCAAAGCCTTATTAACGAGATGGCGAATAGCAACAACAACATGGAAAACGACAATGATGATGTTGATGATGATGATGATGATGTTATCGAAATCGTATTGCATTGAATTTTGTTTGCGGCGTGAATTGTTTATTCAGACACAAAGCTCGGTCGATAAAGTTTCTGAGATCGGCGCACTGGTCTGTAACGGCTGCTGTTGCTTCTGCCACCACCACCACCACCGCCGCCATTGTCGTCGTCGTCGTCTTTGCTGCTGACTTTCAATTCGAAAAACAATTGAATCATTTAGCTTTTCATATGGTTTTCACTGCTTTACAGTTTGTTTTCTCGACCTCATTTTCGAAATGTCTTGTACCCGTCACAACCATCTTGTCATCCTCTCTCTCTCTCTCACTCTCATTTTGAGACGCTGCTGCCACCGTCCATTTCAACGATTGTTTTTGCTCCTATATATCAATATTCTGATGGAAGTAAACACAAGTGCCTCTTCACATTTACTCCCAAACCAAAAAGTTGTTGGGATATTGATTCATTAAATTGCTGCCGTGCACATTGGTCGAGTGGAAATGTTGTTTTCTTTGCTTTGGTTTTTTCTATTTCGGAGCTGTAAAAACTCTCTCTCGCTCGTTTGCTCGTTCAAAACTTTAGAAATTGAGTACCGTCTAAAAAAGACACCATATTTATTCATAAGGATCGGTTTGGAGGATTTATCGAAAGCAAAAATTTCAAATTCATTTATTTTTCTTTCTCAAACTGCTTCAACTGTTTTGGTTTTATTTTTCTTTTGCATTCATTTGCGGAAAGTTGTTGAGATTCTCTCCACATAATGTTGTCGTTTGATTTGTTCTATACGGTGTTTTTTCCCTCTTATTCTTCTGTTTATGCTTCTGAGTCCGTTCATATTGCATTAATCGATTCGATTCGATTCTCTACCGAAACATTGTGAATGAATTGAAAAATAAGTCTCGCGGAAAAGGATAAGAGGGAAAAGGAGCGAGATAGAGTGGAAAAACATGACCCAGCATAAGTATGTCGTTCTGAAGTATTAATTTCTTTTCTTTCACTTATCCATATTTTCGTATTTCGTCTCCGTACACAAGCGAAAAATTACAACAACAAAATCCCAAACACGTCCATTCAACATCAATATGTACTTCGTTATTCTCTGGGAGAATTTCTCTCCCCCCTTGAACCGCGACCGCTTTCGAGGCCCACGACAATTTGCTTGCTTTATTCGTACGATGTTGTGGTTAAAATTGAATTTAATCGGTAATTTAAAAAAAAAATTCTGTTCGCCCTCTTTCTCTCTGGCTGATGATTATTTAATCTACTATCCAAATGCAAAATAATTTTTTAATAAATATTGTAAATGCCATCATGAACGAACCAAATCGTACGTTTTCGTCTATTTTCTTCGTTCTTTTATCGTCACTTCGCCATTACATCGACCAAAAAGGGAAAAAAGCATGAAGAGAAATTGTGTCTAGCATAAAAAAACTTTTCTCTCTCTCACTCTCACAATTTTTTTTGTCCCTTTTTTCTATGCCAGGGCTTGATACATCTCACAGTCGTGCCATTGCCGAATGATGAATATTACACTCTAGATAATTCCATTTGGTTCAGTCTGTGTGCGACTGTGGATTTTTCTTTTCGTCCCATTTTTGTCGCTTGCATAGAACGCTACTGTCGTTCGCGAGCGCACGCAGGAGAGTAAGAGAGAGAGAGAGAGAGAGAGAGAGAGAGACAGCAGAGCATTCAAAAAAGGCGGGCGCGATAAAGAATAACGAAGAACTGGAATATATTTATTAAATTGGCGAAAATCTCGCACTTATTCACTTGGCACTTTCGCTGAAGGGCCACGCTGTTTTACACATCGTGCGCTTTATTCGTCACGTAATTTTTCGTGCTCATTCCATTTTCCAGTTGGGTATTACGGATCTTGTTGTCGCTTTTATTTATTGTGTGTTCGTTTTGCTCATGCTTTTTTCGCTGTTCCTTTTCTCTTGTAACGTTGTTAGTATTGTTGTTGTTGTTACTCCTCTTCATTCCTCGAAGTCGCGAAGTATGGATCCCGTTTCATCCATTTGGATGTGGTTGCTAGCACAAGTATTTGGTGATTCATCGATCGTTCATCCTGCAATAGAATTTAATACACTTTGATGGCCTTTTCATACACTCTCAAACGCCACTCTCTTCTCTCGCTCTCCGCTTTTATACGACCAAACTATGAATGCAATATTATTGGGATTTCATTAAAAAAATTAGAACAAACTAACAATGACACAATGTCGTTCGGGTTTGCCCCGTTGCTACGAAACGCGATATATGCTAATGGAATTGAATGTAACCCAATGACTATGAACTTAATCATATTTTGTGTGTGTGTGCAGCGGCACGCCACGTACATTTTTGCTTCAGATAGATATAAATTTATTATCAAATGATAAACATAGTTAAACGTTATTAACAATAAGCCTTGTGTATTTTCCAGCATATCATCAATTTTCCATCCGGAATATTTGGATCAGAGGCGCGGGCACGCACATATACACTTATACCAAGCCTCAAACGACTAACGATCAAACCATCGACCGAGTGAAACCAGTGCTGAACACCAGGGATAATTAGTGTGCTGATTATAAACAATTGCGCGAGTCCGAAGCACGAGTACGGATCGAAAAAGACGAAAACGCGTGGTTAATTGCAAGGCATCGCCAACTCTGTAACGAAGAACGCAAAAATTATCGTTTCAAAACTATTAAATGGGAAGTGATTTAAAGCGTCTCTCTGCGCCGAGCGGTTTCAGTGTAGTCTACATAGCACAAGCAAAAAACTAAAGTTGATCTATGACATGAGAAACGAACCAAAGTTGCGGGGAGTGTTTGGAAAATTGAAAAATTGGAAAATAGAAAATTATCGCTAATTGCAATTGACTGGTGCTCAAAAACCAAGAAGAAATACATCCAACGTACACGTTCTGAAATATATATTGATTTGGGAACGGGGCTCAAAACGAAAGATCCCATCGAAATACAGAGAGAACGACCAGAAGTCGAAGTTTTTAAGTGAATAAACGAACTACAAAAACAAGCAAAGCGCTCACTTCGGGCAAACTGTTTGATAGTTTCGCTTGCTGCCACTCACAACACATGATTAAGTGTATGTGTGCATAGTTTTCATAAGTGCTATTCCGTTGCTTTTGTTGATTTTCTACGCCCGTACGTCCTGGTGTTTATGTTGCTCCTTCTTCTTCTTCTTTTTTTCTATATTATTCCAGCTCCTTTCTTACATTTTATATAGAATAGTATATCTTGAATAGTTCAGACATTTTCCCATGCTCGAACAAACCAAGCAACCATTCGCTGGATCTGGTAAATGTGTGTCTTTTCGTTTGTATGAAAACCAGTGAACGAGAGAGAGAGAGAGTGGAAGCGGGAGGAAAACGAAAGAAAGCTTTCGAAGTGGTTGTTGTCAGTTTTCGATGTATTGAACGCGCCATTTTATAAATGAATATTACGTATTTTATGCACGCTTTAACTACTATGGGATATAATAAGTAATGAATGCGGTGAGCTCAGGCGTTCGACTCACCAACAACAACAAAATACACCCACACATACCATCGACAAAAGCAAACGGAGACTCGTAAAATAGAGAATGTTCTGTATGTGCACGTGAATGGTTGCGAAGGCAGCCAAACGACAGCAACAACCAGGAGATCAATAAATCAAAAGAATAAAATAATTGAAACTGAAAGCGAAAACTTCGGTTGGGAAAACTAGCAGCAACAGACGGAAACGAATAGAAATAATAAACTGACTTGAAAAAGCAGCAGAAAAAAAATCAACGGAGGGAAAGACAGACGAAGAACGAGAGAGCAAGTGTGAGAAGAAAGGAGGAAAAAAAGTGTGCGCGCCGCGCGCTTCGAATAAAGTTAAGAGAAAACGACCGGAAGAGAAATATACGCGATCTCCATCAGCATTTCTCTGATTTCCCGTGCTATATGCTATGCGGAGTGCACGTCTTTTAAGCTGCAATCGTATTTGAATTATTGTCGAAACGTGTAGAGCACCTACTGGAGCAGCAAGGAGAAAAAACGGAGAAGAAAGGACATCTCGCAACGATGACGAATATTATGATCATTTATTTTTTAACGACATGTTGTATTTTAAAAGGTAAGTTATTAATAGTTCCATTTCTTGTTTTTTTCTTCTTCCTTCTTCGTTTGCAGAACGTCCCCCAGAGTTGGCATGTGTTTTTTTTGGCTCTTGTGCATTTTTCCATTACATGTCATACATACCGATCATTTATTTTCATCGTGACATTCGTATTGACAGAAAGTAAATCCACATTGAAGTCCACCGAGAGAATACAAGACCGCTTCGCTCCACTCTGCGTTCTTGAGATTTTATTTACTTATTCTATTTTGTTGTTTCACAACAAACTACTTTTTTGCGCACTACACGTACAGCGATAATTTGCGACTATGAAATCGGTTAACTTTTCAATTCTATGGGCGCTGCCATATTGAAAATTTACGTACGATATGGTGCACGCACCCAATAGTTCCACTTATTTTAATAAGGAATCTCTATAGGTGGCGCTGCCACATCGTCATTGACATCGAGTCAAATATTGTCAAATATAATAACATTGTTTATATAGGCTTTTATCGCAGTACGGCACTACATGAAATGTATTTCATCGAAGTAACTTTGCAGTAATATATCTTTAAAAATCGTCCCTTTTAATAACACTATGTATTAAAAGCATAGTACGAAAGATATATATTTGCAACAAAGTAGGTACAGAAAAAAGATTTTCTCAGTTATCTCAATAATGAATTACAAGATCTTGGTTTAATTTCTTTTTTGAAAGATACAGACTGCCTCTGGTTTAAATTGAATAAAAAATATAAGCATAAAATTGAAACCCACTCTAATTCTGTTCATGGCTCGAAAAAGTATTAGGAAAAAAAACCAGATTAGTAGCTCTACATTTCATGTAGTGCTAAAAAATATGCGAACGAACCCGAATTGCCAATTCTTCATTTTACCTATTCATTCGATGCAATTGCTCTGACAATCCTCCTAGAATGGCATAAAAAGCATTCGGTGGTTGGAATTCAACTAGAAAATGATGACATTCAATTCAATGTGCACAATATCCATCAATTAACAAGCTAACTGACTCTATCTCTCGTTTGCCTGATTACGTCAATAAGCGAATTTAATTTTTCATAAAAAAAGGCAGCGCTTTTTATGGATTTCAATTTGAATAGATAATGCAGGGATGACGGCCGCTCATCAAATTTAAATATGGTCAATTTTATGCATTAAACATGTGCCGAAATGATTCGACATTTGCAAAAACAGCGTCCATCCCCTCGCGCACAATGGTACAAATTATATATGTGGCAGTGAAATGAGTATAAAAAAGTATCAATTTGAATCTATGATTGGTTTTTTTACATGAATTTGCACGATTCACTTTTGCAATTACAAAAGCAATCACTGTCCACACATTCATGGTCTCATTCGTTTGCTGTTTCAGTCCATCACCATAAGTGAATGAGACGAGTGGTGTGCGCGGCTCTCGTTCGCACACAAAACTCATAAAAATGCAATTAAACCAAAGCGATTAGATTTTGGCTTTTCCACCATCGGAACGCTTTGTTGTGGCCGATGTGCCAGTGGCGTTGATTATATTCGATATGAATTTATTGCTGAATCATAATTCTAATTACGTATAGCGTGTGTTGTGTAGAGAAATCTGTGTGTTTGTATGTTGTTACTGAACACACACACACACACACACACACACACACACACACACACACACACACACACACACACACACACATACCAACCATAACAAAAAACCGACCATCGAATCGTCGACCAAACACAAAATCTGGTCGAAACGCCGATTTCATTTTCCCATGTGAAAGTTATTCATGCTACAAAGAGCACAATTGCACGCACAACCAAACGCACATAGAAGCTATGGATACATTAAAGCTCGCCTACATTCCGAACACAATCAAGCATTTTGTTGTTTGTGTATATGTGCCACTTTGTATTATTCATTCGTGGCACGCCAAAGGGAAAAATGAAAAATGAATCGAGAGGTTTTCGAAAGCATATCAGTTTGCGCAAACGAACGAAGCACCGAGTCAACACGGATAAAGGTCAGAGAGAAGTAGAGAGAGAGAGAGGAAATGTGGGGTGACCAACGCGTTTTATCGAATTTAATTGGCAACAGCACTATCAAACGAAACGAACGCGGCTAAAGCTTAATTGACGCAAACTTATTACGTGTTCCATTTATTAATAAATTTATACTTTCCGATGGTAAAAAGTAACGAAATTCTCTCTCGAGCACTTTAAGTTGATTTTTCGGAGAACCGCCGAAAAGACGGAAAATTTATCGAAACGATTCGTAACACAATCACAACACGAACCAAACAACGCAAAAGCGCCCACTTTTCGAAACATGATGGCTACGTACACCATCGTGCAGGAATGGATTGGTTGGGATGTACGAGAGAAATACATCTGTGACATTTGAATATACGCGAAACATGGAAGAAAAACTATTTAAAATTTCACATGGGATTCTACACAATGTGAGAGAGGGAAATGACAAGGAAAAACGTTGGATGGAGGTACATACACACTGAAAGGGAAAATCAAAATTAAGAGCGACAATATTGCGATTATTAATATCATGTTGAAGTCATGTACATATGTACCGTACAGCTACATTTTCACTGTACAAACTATATATGCAACACCACTTTCATAAGAACTATTTCACTTAGTCGCTTGCTAGCTGGCTGACTGACTGACTGACTGACTGACGATTACCTACCTCTTTCTCGCCTCTTGCCCATAAATCATGTGTGATTGTGAATGATGAAAAGCAGCATGTTTTACATGCGGCTCTGTTTTCAAGGAAATTGAAATGAAATATTGCATAAGCCATACAATGTGTGTTTATGTGTATATGAGACTCATGCATCGCAGACGAGTCACAGCCGTAGATATTGCAACCAATGTGTGCATAAATATGGAACAGCCAAGCGCAAATACGTATCGCAACAATGAGTGACTGAGCCAGTGGCAGTCACTATGCCATCAGAGATGCACAAACTGATATACATGATACGATTTGCTGGTGAGCGACATACCACATGACCAAAATACGTAATAAATTATTGTTTTCGGTGGGATATTTAATTTTCCTCCATTGCATATTTGTTTGTGCGTGTGTGCGTGTGTGCGCTCGTGTGCCTATGTGGATCTCTGTTTGGTTGTCATTTTTAATTTTACTCTTTATTGCGGCGACGCTTTTCACTCAATTCGCATTGTTGATTGCGAATTTATTTTTAATAAAATGCAAACACAAATAAAAAAAAAGGCAACTCATGCCAGTGCAAATATGCAGTGAAATAATATTTATCGTTTAGTTTCGTTCTCTCAAAACAAAAATATGTGTCCGTCGAATTTGGACGAATGAAAACAGCATAAAAGTGAGCAATGTGATGATTTTTCATAGTTGATGTACTCCAAATCAAAATCACTAATTCTTCACTTGAGTGGAGCCAGTTTGGATACGACAAACTCAAATGCCACTATTCGTCAAGTGAGAAAAAAAAAACAGCAGCGTACTGATATGTTTTTTCGCTTCTGTTGGCATTCGTAATTAGTGCAATGTTTTTGTTATTGTTTCATGAACATGTTGCCCCAATGCGCATAATAAACGGAAATACGGATACTTTTTTTTACTTCAAAACGAAACAAACAATGATGTTTGAATAAATATAGTTTCTAAACTGAAATAACAACAACAACAACAATGTAGAGCATAAGAGTCTTTGGTTCTTATATGTTGAGATTATACCAGAGGCGAACGCGCGCATTAGACACAATCGTCGAGACGAAACCAACGAATATGTTCAAAACTTACATACATACAGAGAGTAGGAGAAAGAGCTAGATTCTATGAGCACTGCTTTTTCTGCATGCAAGGAATTTACACATCAAAGCGCAATATTCCAACACATACATCATCATCGTGCAGGAAGCATAAAAATAAAAGAAAATATCTAACTAATATTATAAAATACAAGCGACGGGCCAAATGCTGCACCATTGACATCATCAGCCTTTACAAGTGATCGTCATATTCCGAATCGTTGTTTTGTGTTTGTGTGTATGTGTGTGTGTGTGTGTGTTGGTTCATTTCGGTTGTTCGCTTGCTTGTTGTACTTGCACAATCTTATTATTCTGCTTACATTCGGTTTTCATTCATTCATTTATTCATTTGCCGTAGTTCACATTTCTTTATGTTGTTTAACATATTTATGTACTTCGGGATTTTTGGTTTGTTTTTCCTCTTTTGCTTTTACTCTCTTTCTCTCTCCCGCTCTGCTGTTGCTCGGTTATACCATCAATTCTCTTAGCTGCTACTATCGGTTGTGCTACCATTGAATATGAGGCTCATTCTGTAACATTATGTGTGTATGTTTATGTTTATGCTTCTGCAGAATGTATGACAAGAGTTGGGCTTTTCATCATCACAAAATGCTTTTTTTTGTACTTGGTAAAATGCATGCATTATTATGTAGAAAGAGAGGAAAAGAGGGAAAACGAGCTAGAACGAGAATGAATAGTGTATGGAGTATGCAGTTAGCAAGGCTTCTCGCTTTCGTTTTCTTTCCTGGTACTTTGTGTTGTCAAGGATGAATACATTATTTTCATCCATAGCGAGTAGTTACCATTTTCAAATGCACTCACTCAACGTGTGCATATTTCACGGGTGAAAATAGATGCGAGTTTTTGTTTTGTTTTGCTTTCGGTTTGATTTGGTTTCAGTGGTACTTGACGTTACAATGCAGTATATTTTCTTCTCTACATTATCCGCTCACTCTTCTCTATCTCGACTTCTCCTCCTCCTCCTCCTCCTCTCTCTCTCTCTCTCTCTCTCTCTCTCTCTCTTTCGCTCTCGCTGTGTCTCTCTCATGGCAGAAGAAGAGGAGCTTTGCACGTTGCTGTTGATTATGCTTTAGTTTTCATTTTTCTTTTGTATTCAACATTTGTGTGTGTATGTATGAGTAGCTTTTTGTCGGTGGCTTTTTCGTTTTGTTTATTACTAACTGTTCTTTTTTTCT